ATAAGTACGTCATGTAATTAGAATGTACCGTGACAAATACCGAGTTACCCGGTTCCATATAAACACAATACCGTTTTGTCCCGGCAAGGCGAGTAACTCGGTTAACCGGGTAACTCGGCTCCAGGTAAACAGGCCCTAAATACTGTAAAATTTGCCTAAACCCGCACACTTAATTATTTCAAGTATGTAAGTTGTGGATGATTGGCGTGGTGGGGAGTAGTGTCTAATATTCATGTATTCCTTCGTGATATATCATTATCATGCATGCATTCGAAATAAATTCCATTTTTCTGCGCATCTGCATACATAAGTTATTTTTTATGTATTGTTTATCAAAACCTGCAAGGAGCGAAGAATGGTTGGAAAAGTGACATAGCGTGAAACTAGTTTTTCATTCATGCATAAATTTAATGCATAGACACAACGGATGAAGGTTCTATTCGAAATATACAAAGATTGGTTTTCTAAAGCCCGTTTTCCACTAGCGATATTTTTCGCGCGAAGCGACTTTATTCTTTTGTATTTGAGCAATTTGTTCCAGATGGTTGCAGTTGAGAGCTCTGGAACAAAAGTAAAATGTCGATTCGCGCGAAGAATATCACTAGTGGAAACCCGGCTTAACGGTTGGTGATGCAACGGTTGAAAGCGGGATTTTCCAATACTGCTCCAAGCATTCGGATCTTTTGTTTTGTTCAATTTTTGACGCGAAAGGAAAAGTCGTTTTGTCATTATTTTCTATTCGTGAAAGCTAAGCAACCATCCGCATCATTAGCAAGGAGTGGAGTGTAGGTTTATCTTTTTAAGCACAGTCTGTCGATTAGTGGATAAGATACAGGGTGTGTAAAAAAGACCTTTAAGGCTTTAGAAATTAAACTAGTGTTATATTTTTAATGCTCCATCACTCTTAGCCTTTGGATGCGTAAAATATTGTCAGCTTTGTGCATATATCACATATCTTTCTCACAAGCCCAAAAGCCTTTCTGCTCCTGGGTATTTGACATAACTTCTAAAAGCAAAATTCTGCACAATAATGCATAGTCAAAAAAGTTTTTATCCTCTAGACTTATATCAAGACGTAAAAACACGTACATACAACACAAGTTTTGAGAAAGGTTCTTGATCGAAATCCATGCACCGGTGAAAAGCACAACCATGAACAACGCCAGTGCAAAATTAATGAGCAGTATTAATTCGTGCCGTGCAGTAGATATTATTCGATTGTGCATGTCTGTACACTCGTGGGCTTGGAAAATTGATCGACCATTTAAATTAAAAAAATAGTTTGATTTCTAAAGGTCTTCTTCTTTTTATACACCCTGTAGAGAGACCCGCGGGTAGCTAAGCTAGGCCCTTGATAAGGTTGCGATCCGTACCTTTGATATAGAATGGACTAATATTGTTAGTTCACCATCAGTAAACGGAATATGTATATTCGTGCACAATAGGTAGACAGTCGGATGTGAAAAGGTTGTTGATCCGTACGTGCCATCGGCATCGAATGGTCTGTTAGTTTACTATCAGTGAACACACTCTCTCCATTCATAACAGGTACAGAGAAAAGCGTGTAACTAAGGTTAACTAAGGCCGAACCTTAAAAAGGTTGAGAACGAGAAACATTGCATGTTGTTATCAAGAGTGCGTGTGTTGAACATAGTTAAATTATAAATTGTTCGTATTTTTCATGAGAACGGGAATACATGTAACTATCGTATTGATAGACAAAACTTGCGTACTATATTATATAGCAGTGACATCTTGCGGATTATATTTAGGGAACTCCGATCGAAATATACGAGAATACAAGCGATATGAGATTACAATCCGTGCTTCACATCACTTTTAGCCCAGGAAACCTGAGAAATATAGGTATTACCCCGCTGGACTGATATGTCCTATGAACCTACTGTGGCTTTTATACCTTGTGCTGAAGCACACGAACAGGTAAGCTTCAGGTAGGCAAATATCTTCATCTTTTTACCCTTTCCTTTTTGTTTTTTCAATCTCTCTAGACACTTATAAGCACAGCTTAAACATGCCATGGTTTTCGAAAATATCACACATTCTCATTCTGAAAATCAAGCAGATCCCGAACGGGACGATGATGACACACTTTCGATTTTGGCGGGAAACGACAATCCCTTGAACTGCGAGGACTTTTAGCCTATTGAGCCACCAGAACAGCTTTTTAACAACTTTTAGCCTATTGATCCATCAACTTTAGAATTGGTGAAATCAGAGAGACCTTTTTGTCGTATAGCCCATCACCTCTTAGGAAAGACCAACACTCAAGCAGACCTCGAGTCCAGACGATTTCTGGATAGCTCAAAATTTTGAGACCGTTCCTGAAAGACTGTCGAACGGGCCACTTTGCCTCTCGACTAACACGACAACTTAAAAATTACATAAGTTAGAGAACGGACCCAGAGGCCCAAAAATGTGATGCTTTCACGGTCAACGGGAAAGGACTTGCGGGATATGCCTTCCCACCGTTCAACTTAGTCCCCATATATTGTTCTCAAAAAAGTGTCGGACCAAACAGAGATCGTCTTAATAGCGCCAATTTGGCAACCCCAGCTTTGGTGGCCCTTACTAATATCAGCCTTCTCGTCGAATAACCGACTCTCCTGCCAAACAACAAACATCTCCGGATAAATCCATCCCACCCTTCGATTGATCCGATGTGTTTACGTCTACATCTGGGCGTATTTCACATCTCGTTGCCTTGGCTTTTCCAAAGAGAGTTTCGCCCCCCCCCTAAATTTTGACCTCAGTCACTGCAAGCATTCTCCAGGGGGTCTAGTTTTACTTTATTTGCCAAAAAGACTCGACGGATGAGGCCGTTTTGGCATTTTATACTTGTTTTCTGGATGACCGTAGGTAATGACAGTGGCATGTTTTAAACATTACATTTCAACGACGGCGGAATTTAGGGAAACTTCAAAAGCCCAACCCGATAAGCGGTTCCTTTCCTTTATTAAACCTCATAAACCGGTCAGTTCAGCAACGCTTGCACGCTGGATTCGTTCAATGCTGGGTCAGGCTGGTATAGATACAAAAATCTTCAAAGCGCATTCAGTAAGGGGAGTAGCAACTTTAGCGGCTGCCAACGGATCTGTTCCCTTAGATGAGATACTGATGATGGCTGACTGCATGGAATAAAGAGTCCACTTTTTGACAGTTCTATTACAAACCTATGGTATCGACGCTAAATTTTGAACATGTTGTGTTAAATTGATCATAATAAAGTCTCTAGACTGAATTTTTTTAAGGAAAGAAATAAAGCAAGTTTAAATTAAATACAATTTACTGTTGTAGTGTTGAACTCTACCGCTTGTATTCTCATATATTTCGACCAGAGTTCGCGAAATATAATTCGAATTATACAAGGGCTGTTCCAGCCTGCGAGTACAACTTCGGTTATATGAGGGAACGAAAGGAGAAATATATGATCCCTCCTTTTATCCCTCCCATTGTTCATGCAGGGTTATATAAGCCACAGCATGTTGATGGGACGGTTATTTCATGGGGGTAATACCTATATTTGTTAGGGTTCTTTTGTTAGAAAGTGATGTGAAGCACAGATTGGTATGCCATGTCGCTTGTATTCGCATATATTTCTCCCTTCGTTCCCTCATACACCCAAAATTATACTTGCAGGCTGGAACCGCCCTTGTATAATTCGAATTTTATCGACAACGCGTGTGCTTTGGATAGTTCGCTGATATCCCATGCATGTTATTTTGAGAACAACGAGGATTGTTATATAGGTGCTGTGTATTTTAAATGTGATTGGTTCATTCGTAGTCACATGACTTTAAATAAATGCAATGTTTCCCGCCAGAGAAACAAGTGAAAAATTGCTGCCCGCTTCTTGTCATAACAAGGTAAAGTGGATTTTTTTTAATAAATGAAATTGTCGTGTAACAAATATGTTTTTGTTCTTATATAACAAAACACTTAATGTACACAACCTTGAGAAATAGAGAATTTTGTCTATTTCCCTCGGGAGCATACATTAAGTGTATAATATTACACGACATAAATATATTGATAAGACAATCTTGTTTGCTTTAATGAGAGTTGTTGTTGTTAGTGACGTGAAGTTTTGTGATGCATGTCCCTATTGAGAAAACAGAAACATCGTATATTTTCATGAAATTTTCCGCATTCTCTGAAAAAGCCTGTGTTTAGTATAGTTCTCTTGTATATTATCGTATTTTTCATTCTATTGTATTGATAGGCATATTTTGGTATTGGATACTGTATATTTTTGCGAGATATATTGCGGAATAGCAGCATATGTAGTTCTCTGACATGGGATCTTACGCGTTTTTCCTAAGAACGAGGAATGTTACAGATAATATTTATATAGGGTTCATGAGTGGTATCTGCTGTTGCATTAAAAACACTGCATTTTTTGACGTTTTGTGATATTGAGAGTTTTTCAAATGAGAGTTTTTATTGCATGCATATGTAGCCGTATCGTTTTTCCCTATGCATTTTGCATTTATATCTTGCTCATTCTGTTGAAAAGAAGGTAGTAAATAAAATTTGACTGAATACGTTGCGAAAACAGTGTTTTTTGTGGCGCAGTTCTGATTGAATTAATCGGTGCCTAAACAATTCCGCATAATTTTTTGTTATGTAAAACAGGGCAAACAACAACATCGCAAGCCATATCTCGATTGTATCATAACAATTGCATTGTCAGATGCTTTGCTTTAGACAAGGAGCTATGGCTTAGATTCATTATAATAAATTTAAATTGTCGGATATCGACCGTGTATATAAAAAATACCAATATAAAAACTGAGGGCTTTTCACTTAATAAAAGCTACATAGTTATAAAACTGCAAAATGCTGCGCGTGCATGTGAGAGTGAAATTACTATTTTTGGACGGAAGATTTATTCTATAATGTTTGTTTGGTAGTTTCCTTACCAAAAAGCGAATTCAGGAAGTCAAGCTTACACTAACATTTATCAGAATGTATGAACTTACCTTCAGGTTGTCGATTTTTGTCTACGACGAGAAGCTTTCTCACGTCGAAGCGTTTTGGTAACGGAATATAACGAGATATATCTCTGCTGGTAACATTCATTTTTATGACAATGGGTGAACTTCTTTCTTTCCAGTAAAGAAAATCTCCAATAACGTCCACTGACATCCATCCGCTAAGAACAGCTGCGCCATAATTAGTTGTCTGATTGATGTTAAGGCCATCGTAATCCATTTCAATTATGACATTAACTGTTCCATATCCGTCGTACGCGTACACTCGCTTCCTGTTGTAATCGAAAGCCAGAAAGTATTCATTATCTCTGTTGAAACCATATATTTGTTTTTCCTTTTTAGTAGCCAAGTGTCTTCGCATTACCTTTCCTCGAACATACTCAGTCCAAAATAAATATCTACAGTGAATAATAATACAGAATTGTAATTATTATTAAAACTGGCTTAAAGTTAGCTATAATCAGCGATATTGGGATTTAAGGGAACAGCGTGATGGCAGCGGGTACAAATACAATAAATAATTCAATTATTGAAAGACATACGCCTGTATTCTATAGGTTCACTCACACTCAAACTCATTGAAACGGAGCTCTCAATCTTCTCATAACGTTTCAATGCAGGTATTTTCAGTCGAATACGATCTAGCTTGATCCTCAGTGTTTTACCTTCGATCTTTCCATTGACCAAAAAGAATTTTCTCATTGATCATGAAGTAATAACAAAACTTCTATATCATTCTCAATGAGTGTGCGCGAGTCTTTGAATACAGGCGATAGACTTGCAATTGATTTCCGCGAATACCGCGCTCAAGGTGCTGCAAAGCTTAATTGTTCTAAGAAATGTTTCTCTTTATGTCGAAGTTTGTATTCCATGCCAGATTTATCGCTCTTTATCCAGGCGAGATCGCTTATTGCAAACCGTTAAAATAAAAGTTAAACAATCAGCGGAGAATATCTGCAGACGAAAACACTGCGCATGCCGACTCCTTTATATTGTGCGGAATCCCTTTTCCATTCTAGCTATTTGAAGTAGTGCTTTCATGCTCTGCTGACGGGCTTCCATTTCACGCCTAAAAAAGTTCAGGTTTATGCAGCATTGATATGAACAGGATTGAAAAATGTTGTGCTGCCCACATTGTTCAGAGTTGTTATCAACATTGAACAATATTGTTACACGACAAGTGCATGTGAACAATAATAACAGCACAACATTGTTACATGTTGATAAACCACAGGCTCAGAGTTTTTAGCCCGGTATGATATTGTCCCGATTTCCAGTTTCAAACTTTAACCCACGTGAAATGCTACCCTAGATCTGGGCTGGAAACTATGACCTACACTTTCATTCCTATAGAGGGGATATGAAAGAATAATTCAAACGCAATTTTGATAGACATCGCTTGTGGTTATGTCAGAATCCCATGAGGTGATAATAATGCCTTGTACCTCATTCTTATTGTTATTTGAACTTGAGCATTGCGCTCTTTTGCTGTGATATGAAAACAACGTTTCATACGTCCTATGACATGGACGAAATTGTGAGAAATTAACAGCACTTACAGAACTGTCCTGAAATAACCTAACAAAAAAGCGGTAAACCTATATGTCAAACCTTGGTCTGACGACAGTTGAACCCAGGTCAGACCGAGGTCGAACTAATTTGTGAGGTTGGCTACGCTACTGAATTTAATGGAAGAAAGTTATAGTTTCCCTCTGCTGATCACTGCACATCATGTGTAACTGAATATTTAGTCTAAGTACTGGCAAAAAATTTAGTTGCATTTATGGACAGAAATGAACACCAATGTACAGAACTGTCGCCGACTGATCAAACAAGTACATTATCCCCTTTAAAAGACCGGTTTCTATAGTCTGTAGCTGACATGGTGTCCGAGAAGATGTCACAGATGCGAGATGATATGTTGAAGCACTTCGAAGATTACGTTGGCGGAACTGAGGCGTGTAATCACCCTGATGAACAAACTAGTCAACAACAACAGGTCGAGCCCCAAGACACTGCTTTGCACTTGATACAGAATTATCTTAATGAGCCGAACATCTCCGACACTTCAAGTTCGTTTGACGAACTTGCAGCAGACAAAACCGGCCAGCGATTGACGAGAAACTGGCGAAACTCATCAGCGAGCTTGTGACAGATATATAGAACGATTGCCCAAGACTATAAACTGGAGGAGCGACTTCAAAAATATCTGCGACCTGAGAATTGCGATTTACTCGTCGCCCCAAATGTCAACAAGGTTGTCTGGCTTAACTTAAAAAAGTCACCCGAACAGCGAAAAGTTCCATGCAAAAGTACCAGATATTATTTATCTTCTCAATTTATGTTATTACTCAATCTTGCGATAAAACAACGGGATAAGTTATGCCCTTGTTCTCGCTTTGTCTGGCAACAGAAAGTTGAATCTTGTTTGGAGATGATGTTGGTAAAGAAATTGATGAAGTCGCGAATGCTAATAAACTCGGAACAAAACTCTCTGGTTCTCGTAGGGGGCGTGGAAGCGATTTCACCCTTACCCGTCATTTCTAGCGAGAGGAACAGGTCGTACAACCTCAATGAGAGGCAACAGCGGAAAGAATTACAATCAACGACTTTCTACCCTTCAGTCTTTTTTCGGCAACAGAGGCTCGTATAGGCGCAGACCAGACGCGAAGTTCAGTTCCACCCAGATCAAGCTGAATCAGAGTTAATCCCACCCGCTCCGCCACAGGTCAATACTTTCGCTAAAATAACTGAATTGCTTTCTGAACAGCCAGCGTTTGTAGCTGGGCAATGGCAAGGAATTACGTCAGATGCATTTGTCTTAAATTGTGTAAGCAGTTTATCTGAAAACATAATCAGGAAACGCATTCTGAGAATGGTGAGGTTTTCCCCAATTTTTATTCAGCCTAAAAAGAAGCCAGGAAAATTTCGAGTGATTTTCAACCTTAAAAGAATTAATGAGGCTGTCACTTAACGCAAGTTCAAAATGGACACTCTGGAAACAACTATCAAACTCATGAAACCTGACTGTTTCACCAATACAAAATACCAATATCTTAAATTATCTTAGAGAGGGAAACTCTATACATAATTATTACTGTTTCACCGATGGGACTATCGGGCACACTGCGATCAAAATTTGATCACTCTTGTCTTGGTTACATTCATGACTCCATTTACATTGAAGATTCTCTCCGGTTGCTCAAAGATGCTACTGTTGATGCAACTCAGTTATTTGACCAACTAGGGTGGTACCAGATCATTCTAAGTCGGTATTTCAACCAACGCTAACTTTGGAGTTTTGGGGATTTTTATTAAACTCCACTACCATGACTGTTTTGCTCACGAGCAAAAAAATTATAAAATTACTGCTCTTTGTGTACATTTCCTGGAATTGAATTTGTACTGTTATACTATAGAGCACTAGAGCGTGATAAGACCTTAGCATTACGACACTCACACGGGGATTTTGAACCAAAATTATGGTGTCTATCACAGGCCAGTATTGATGAAATTAAGTGCTGGGTCTCTTCCCTACCAACTGCATTTAGGATTATTGATCATAGTATCACTACTGCATGTATCACCATGTATCTTATTATGACAACTGATGCCTCACATATAGGTTGGGAAGCCGTTGTTAACGAAACTAGGACACAAAGGGCTGTGGTCCGCACACGAAATGGAATTCATATTAACGTTTTAGAACTTCTGGCGATAAAGTTTGGGTTAGCATCACTTCTTCATTGCACCTGTGAAACGCATATCCGAATTCAATCAGATAATACAACAGACGTCACATATGTAAATAAAATGGGAGGTTGCAAATCTATAGAGTGTGACAATGTTAGTAAAGATATTTGGCTATGGGCCATAGCTCGCAATAATTGGTTATAGGTGGCGTTAACTCCGGGCAAACAAAATACTGTTGCTGATTAACTTTCACGATAATTTAATGCGGTATTAGAATGCACTTTACATCTTACTTATTTGAGTAGGACTTATTTCAGTAGAACCACGTGGTCCTTTGGCACGTGGGTTTTTCATTGGTCTCTGAATTTCGGAAATTCTATAACAAACCTATTATTGATGATAATGTATCCAAAATTGTTTAAGTCTCATGTTAACCGGAAGTACGTAACTACGGTTTGGTAGAATTATCATCAAACTTCAACTTAAGGTAAATCTCGTTTAATTTTCAATTTATTACCTCATAAAACACTCGAATTATCATTTGTCGCGGATATTACTAAAGAATCATTATATGAAGACCTCGTCGCTGTCTTAAAGTAAAAAATCTGGACGATTTGATCGATAAATTCGAAATTATGTCGATGCTACACATAAACTATTAATGATTTTCTATATAGATATGTTCTAGTTCTAGCAAGATAACTTTCCTCTAGAAGATTACTTACTGATAGTATAGGCTTGTTTCTGCCTGTACTATCACGATACATACTTAAGTTAAATAATTTCTAGCAGACATGTTTTTTCTTAATTTAGTGCATCAATATTCAGGCCGGTGGCTTGCTCACACTTTAGTATTACACGATTGGTCTGTTGTCTTCTATCGCTTCTGTTCAAATGATTTAAATCTCACAACGGCCCATACGATCTGACAAGAGTATAATCCTTAGCACTTAGGTGATTGTTGAAATGTTACTGCACTTCAATTCAACCATAGGCATATGTTTAAATTCTAATGCATACCATGCATATGTTTAAATTCTGTACCTGAAACCTTGTTGGGCCCACAATTAAGTTGTCCAGAATTATTTGTTACTTATGAGAAATATATTACAACATGATTTACTGTTTTTAGTTAAAAGCAAAGTTAGCAATCAAGACTCAAGAATCCTTGACAACTGACATATGATTGTAAATGATATGAAAAAGTAATTCACTGAGGTAGAAAGGGTGTGTTATCTTTCTAGTATATCCTGCAAGTGGCGATACATTTCAATTATGTTTGCAGACACTTCAATAACCTCTACTAATGAGAAAATATTAATAAATTATTGCCATATTCTTGTTTTATGTCCAGTAATCTTGTAGGAAAAATGGTTATTTTAGGTATGTTGATATGATTACTAATTAATTGTATTAATGAGAAGCAACTGACGTTAAGTTATAATGGTTCCCACCCTCTTGCCTGATTATCAGGTAAAACATCTACAATGTTTGCAGAATGCATGTGAAGCTTTTGTACTTGGTAAATATGTAAAAACAAATTTATTTATTAAGTAAAGATGGTTGCCTGTGTATAAAAGAAAATAGTTAAATCTTCTCAAGCTTGTTCATAAATCATTGTATAATGTGATCATATCCGAGAATCTTAAATTGCAACTTTATGTTGTTAATAATTACAATTTAACATCTGCTGTGGCTCCTCTAATTTATATTCCAATTAAGGAATGTGGCACCTTTCAAGATATGGCTCCAAGAGACTTTTAATTAGCTTGCTATTCACATTAGAAAAATTGAACATTTCTCAATGTTTGTTAATGCAGTTAAAACTGACTTTTCAGCAAAAGCTAAAGCCTGCCTTGAATAAGAGAATCTTTGTTGATTTTATAGTATACTCCAGCCAACATTTTTATATATTGTATTGATTATACAAATAGTTAGTTTTAGAAGGCGAAGAGCCACATACGTGGAAATACTTTTAATAAATCATTATCATTATTATATTTTATAGAGAATGGGAACAGATGATCATCATACATGTGCTTGGTATACAAGGAAAAAACAACTTGAAGTCAAATTGTGGCCCTTTGGATACTTTAAATGTAAGTACATGCATTTTGAGGTAATTTTTTTGTTCATGCCATGTATACATTATGTAAAGCCAAAATAGTTCTTTTCATGATAATTTTTCCAAATATAAGAATTTCAGAACTCAAATACTGTATCATTGTGGGTTTAAAAGTTGTAATTATAGTTCTTAAAGTTTCTATAATTTTTTTCCCAGAGATATCAAAGTAGCAGGATATTTTATAAAGAAGATTGAAAAATGTGCATCAACAACATTGGTTGACATTAATTCAATGATGCTGATGCATGACAGAAAGAGTATTTATTGCTGAGTTATAAGTATGAACATTTTCAATAATACCATGACTTGTTGGCTCTCTGCATAATTTTTATTATAAATTTAATGCAGAATATATAGAGAAAATGTGGACTTAACATGAAATAATGGTGTATATTACATTCAGTATATGTATATTTGATTAGTATTCTGAGATTTTTTATCGTTGAAATCTGGAAGGTCATTTTCACCAATTATTTTTTAGAACAACAACTGCTAATGGGTCATTTTGACCCATCTGTTTTTACAGTGTTTTTACAGCACTTCAACAGGTAGACTTATGAGCTGAATCAAACTGCAAATTAAAAATATCATCTACATAGCATGCACTGAAGAACAATTAAATATGAAGGATTTATTTTACCCGTTAAAGCAGGTTCGGCAACGCGAAAAAGCATCTGACAAGTCATGAAAATTGAACAATAATCAAGAAGAACAAATTCATGTTCAAAAATCAAAACAAATCGAAAAAAACAAAATCCGAAAAATATAGTTACTTACGTCGCAAAAATCTTTCTTACAAATCTGACTTTATGCTGATAATATTTTCTTAAATTGAACTCAATAATTAGCTCTTGTTGTGATTACTTCTCAATTTATGAAACACTCACCCTTCGATGGGGTCAATTGCTATATCCACAGGCCTGCGAGTTTTAATCAGCGTTCTACTGTCTTTACCATCTAAAGTCGCCACGTTAATGATATTATTGTAGTAATCAATCCAGAATATACGACGTCCTATCCAATCAATTGTTAATGCCTGTGTCTTAGTATCATTCACAACGATTTCTTCATAAGTTCCGTCATAATTTGCCCGACGAATCTCTTTATCTTCTTCCGCAAAATATATTTTCTTATTCTTCATGTCAATGTCCAGCGTATATATATTTCCTTTTCCATCTACGACGACTGTTTCATCTAGCGTCGTTAAATCGACAGCCAAGATTGCAGTCTTTGTCGCCAAGAACATATATTGCTCAGGATAAGGTCCTGCAAAAAGATGACAGTTGAAGTCAAATACTGCGTATTAATGTACAGGTTTGCATAGTTATAAACGTAAAAAACTAATGCAGAAATGTGCTGCTTTCTGTGATTGTTCGCTGGATAAATTTTAAAATTCGATCCAAATTTATTTCTCAAAAACATTGGGGCGAGCGCGCGGCCAGCGTGATTTTCCATACAAATCTATAATGAGTGAGGGAAATTTACATTTGCGCATTTTGCTCGATTTATCCAAAACAATTAAAAAATTGCTCAATTTCAAACATTATTGAGGATAAATGGGTTTTTGTTGATATGTGGCTGGAAGTACTTGTGAATCAGAAACCGGTAAGTGTCTTTTTTGAGGTTTTCTTGCAAGCTGTTTGCACCCCTGAATTTACACAAACACCATCTATTAACTCGATTTTTGTGTCGATAAAGCACTAAAATGAGAAAATTTTAGCCAAATTACGAAGATCTATGATATGGGAGAGATAATATGTAACTTGATAGCTGGTGAGGTGGACCAACACTGTTAAATTAAATCTCCTTCGCCTGTTGTCATACTGTCATTTTTCAGTTCATAGCTGGTTACTAGGAAGCCTTTTTTAATATACTCAAGAGAATATACAGCCAAAAAAGTTTCAAGATTACAATCCTGTGTGCTTGCGATTGTTTAGACAGACTCTGGTTCTGACTAAACCATGCGTACAGTATTAATACGATTAGGCATTAATTAGTATTAGCCTGTAGTTATAGCCTAATGCTTGATTTAATCATATATAGTTGAGGCAAGCTTATTTTAAATTCTTAGGTAAAAAGCATGGCTGGGCAATTTACACCATGTACACCTAATAACAATAAAATAATTAACACTTATTTGCTGTGAACAAAGGAAACATTATGTTTTGTGGACCCAAGACATGTCGAGATCATAGCCAACACATAATTTTAAAACAGCTATTCTGTTGAATACCTGTTGACACTGATAGATATCAAGCCAACACATAATTTTAAAACAGCTATTCTGTTGAATACCTGTTGATACTGATAGATATCAAGCCAACACATAATTTTAAAACAGCTATTTCTGTTGAATTTAAATAGTAATTGTCTCACAATGTCACTAAAGTCTTTTAATGTTTGATATTCATTTACATGTAATCAAAAAAAAAATCTCTCCAATCAAAAAAAGGGATTTGAAACTGTCTGGTGATTATTTTTTGTTTTCATTCTATAAAAGGCAGAGTTGTGATAGTATTGTTTATTGATGGTAGTGATGTTTAGTGTTACCAAATATTCCAAATTAATAATATCTTCTGTGCAATACCCTGCTGACATTGTAGTTTCAATTTCAAGTTGGAAATAAAGCAATGCTTGAGTTGCAAAAATATTTCTGTTCATCAGCTCTAAATACATCTTTGACCCCGAAGTTATTGTTAACTACGCCTTGAAAAATTCCAGACCATAGTTTAACTAACCCCTGAATAATTCCAGACCATAGTTTAGCGACCACTTCAATTAAAATTGACTTTAATAACACACAGATGGTATATTAGCTGCAAATTATGTACTGCAATATAAGGCATGGACAAGACATTATGACATATTAGTTAAACTATAGTCTGGAATTATTCAAGGGGTATAGTTAAACTAAGGTCTGGGGTTATTCAAGGGATAGTTAAACTGTGGTCTGGAATTATTTAGGAGGTAGTTAAACTATGGTCTGAAATTATTCAGGAGGTAATTAAACTATGATATGGAAGTCAAAACAAATAATTAAATATTGATGTGAAGATGTGTGGTTGTTAACTGACTGTTAATCTGAGCAACCAGGGTCCTCAACAGTGGGATGCAATTTTAATGATCTATTTGAATGATCTATTTCTATTTGTGTAGTAATGTTTTATTACATTTTGTGTGTATTTTGTACTTTGTGCGTTATCATATCTTGTGTGTATATATTTTGTTTATCGTGTGTAATAAATTTTGTGTATCTTAATTTTCTCTTTTGTGTGCGTATCCTATTTTATGTGTGTTTTATATTACGTATATAAATATAATTTAATTTGTATTGCTCACGATTGCATACGTACATAAACTTAATTTTTACATTTACTTAATTTAAGATCACTAAATTAATATCTCGCTCATATTATTCGACAAGGCTGTCTGTATCTTTGATTTATGGAGACATCTTTGATGCAATATATTAGCTAACAGTAACACCACGTTATAGCATATCAAACATATTCTTCAAAATAACATGCAGTATTTCTGCTCCCTTGAATGAAAATTTGCATATCATATTTAAAACTGCCTCCTTTGTCACCTCAACGCCAACGGTAAGGAGTGAAATGATGATTTTAATATTAGTAATATTCAACCAGGCGTTTCTTCGAAGTTTATTGGTTCGCTACCTTTGCTACACTGATTAGTAAACAAACTTATTGAAGCTGCTACACTACTCTACCGAATTAAATATCCTTTTTTATGTGGTACTGTTGGCACACCGCCTCCCATTTGCAATAAAGAAAGATTTCCCAATTAATAAATCGTTCAAAGAATAAAACATCTAAAACAGGCTTTTCAACAAATCAGTGTAACTTCACCGATGCAGTAAATCTACGTTGAGTAGAGAAGAACAAGTGATACCACGCGAAAGAGACTACGAGCAATTCAACAGTGTTGGTCCAATGCCCGAGCTATCAAGTTATATAATATTTCTCCCATATGATAGAACTTCCTCTCCTGGTTAAATCAGTTTCCCATTTTAGCACTTTATCGTCACAAAAATCGTGTTAAGTATTGTTAATAATAATTCATTCTGCTAATTTATGAATGTATGCAAACTTTTTCGTCGCTTTTTTTAGCAAACTAAAATTCTCATTCCCCTTACTCTCGTGCAAGATAACTGAAAATTAATAAAGGTAACTTGACAAAATTTTCATGGTTGACTTTAAAGACAATTGGCTCGGAGGTGTTGTATTCCATTCAGTCTAAGTAAAATAGCGACTGCTTATTTTCGATATATCGTAGAAGTTTTATATTTAGAGCCTGCAAAACGTTTAATACTGGACAAGTTTTATTTATTCTAGTTCAGCTCCGAGGCAAAAATATTTGGAATTAAATAAAACAAATTCCGTTGTTCTAGAGTTAAAACCTAGTTTGTTATCGTATTTACAAAAATCGCCTATTTTCCAAATTTGGCTGTGTCTGGTCTACTATATATAAGGTTTTCACCCAGAGCAACTTGGTTTGCAATATGGCATGAAAAGACTTTTATATTTAAAAAAAAAACTTTAAAAAAATTTGTAGTGGACCAACTTAATAGATGGTGTTTGTGTATATCCGGGCTACAAACAGCTCGCAAAAACACCTCGACACAGCCACAAAATTTCAACACTTACCGGCCCTTCATTAACGTTTATCAACCGCATATCAACAAAGATCCATTTATTGAGCAATTTTTCAATCATTTTGGACAAATCCAGCAAAATGCGCAAATGTAAATTTCCATCACTCATTATAGATTTGTATGAAAAATCGCGCAGGCTGCGCGCTCGCCCCAATGTTTTCCACACCCTGGGCAATCGCATCCGAACGCTTGAGTATTTTCGCTGAGATTTATATCCACACTTCCTGACCAGTTCATGAACAGCAAATATTGAGCCAGAAGAAATTTTATTGATTTACGCTCTTTGACACCAGTTCCAAAAGGACAGATGCATGAAAGTACACATCATATACCATCCACTTTAAAAACCGCAATCAGGAATTAAACCTGTGGTTCAGCGATTCCCGTAAAGCATTCAGAACACTACACAGTCATTAACTGCAAGCTTCTCTTCATCTATAATTTTACATTTGCTATAAACTGTTTATGCTGTATAAACCATTTACTTGTGTTGGTGCTTGATAATTATCATATTAAATATACATTCGCAATTGCATCACCATAAACGATGGGGACTGCACTTCAGAAAATTAATTTCCCAGCGAAATATGAAAGAAGATTGGTTGGATAACTTGGCCGCCATTTTTGAAGCTGAGTTACTGGGCGCCATGTATATAGGTTAGTAGCCGGAAACACAACCATTTAATAAAACAAAAACTATTTTCTAATGTTTGAAAGCAGTTGAAATGACAACTAAAAGCATAAATTGGCAAAAATCGGGGAAGAATCGCGATTATTTGAAATTGTCAAAACGACAAAATGCAAAAGCCAATTTTTTTAAATAGACCAAAAACTAATCCCAAGCCATTTTGGTAATGACATGCATCAGCAATGTTAATGTCGGATAAAAAACCTCCCCAAACACCATATGCACAATATGCATAAACATGCACAATATGCATAAACTTGCTTTAGTGGCTTTTGCTGTAAGTCTATATGATAAATTTTTATTTCTTTAAATTTCATAGCGCTATTTTTCGCGCAAAACAAATATTTTTTTTTGTATGTGAGCATTTTGTTCCAGATGTTTGAAGTTAATAACACTGAAATAAATGTAAAACTGTTCTAAAAAGGCGCTATTGTGCTCTTCACTCATCTACTTAGAAACCCAGATACCTCTGGTAAAAGTGAATGAGCAACTCCCGCTTCAAACAATATGGTTCACGCCAGCTTATACAACTGAATGTTTTTTTGAGGTTACGTGTGACCATGCAATGTTAACATATTTGGAGCCAGAAGCGGCGCGGGCGAACCTAAGAACGAGTTATCGAGGACATAGCAGCATGCGCGTCCTGAATCTTAGCCATTATAGCAATCGCACTACAACGTTGCACTGCCAAGTGAGAAAGCATCTGAGCGAACCTGTGAAAAATTTCTGGTCTGCTTGTTCTATTTTCCTTTACTTTCCGCCGAACTTGGTGCGGGTGATAAGCTCCAGACGTTCGGTGGCAACGTCTTTGCTCGGTATACGCATGTTGCACAGACCTGGATCCAAGTCACTTGATTCAAATATAGTCGTGCCCGAGGTCTGCACCTAACCAACCGCACCGGTAAGTATAGGCGCATTACCAAGCTTCACGATCCCCCGCGACTTATGTTAATGAGGCCGTCATTGCATAGTTTGTAGCTTGACTCTTATTTTCTGGCAATGGGAAATTGTAATCTATCATGCACTGATGATGTGGTTCTACCTGTCTTATCCTAATTGCGTTTCAATCATGCGCCATAGCCATTATTTTGAAATGGAGGACTTTGTGTTTAAATGAATCATACCATTACGTACTTTCACGGAACATGCAGCATATGCCAAATAGGTAAATGTAGTTATAATACTTTAAAAATCACGAAAAATCAAACGGGTTTATGCATATTTTGGAAGTCTCAAGAAGAGGTGATAAAAAAGAAATACCGACAAATATCTTACACACCACCAACGAAGTGCCTGCATGGTTTCCACCTACTTTGAATTTAATATCCTAGTATTTTCACGACAAATTGTTTAAACGTTTTTCTGTGATAATTATAGCGATATATTTTAGCCAATTGGTAAACACATCCGACACGCAAATCTTCGGAATGTTTAAAGGAAAGTCGAAACTATCAGACTCTTTGCGTGTTAAATGGTTGCTATCGTCGAACGCATGCGAAGACAACACTAAACAGTTTGAGGATTCCTGACATCTGACTGACGCCTTGGCTTAACATATTGTGGCCAGGCAATAAAACAGGTCTTGTGTTTAAAAGCGGTTGTTCTTCACTTGAGGCGCCGGCGCCACAGGGAATGTCCTGGCCAGTACAGATCAAAATTAATTTTCTAATTCTAGCTCCATATCCGACGAGACATATTTATATAGGACGGCAGATGAGGTAGTTTCGATCTAATTTGGGCCTTTGTGGCATTTTTTTTCAGAAAAAGCGACAAAATCTTATAATCTCAAATCATTGGAGATCGCATTTAGTAGATGATACTCCCGCATTCAGCGGGCCCAAAACGGTAGAACAGGAAACAAGCTTGCTTCGCAAACACATTTTGTTTATAAACGTCAGACCTTTATAGAGTAAGGAAAAATTTCTTGCCATATGCAGTACGCTGGCATAAGAAATATTTCCTACGAATTCCTTTAACTGGTTCTCGCGATCGAGGTTGTAAAATTAAATAACCTTTTGGAACAAAATTTACTTTATATTAATCGCCTTTGGCATGTTCTCGTGGCGACCTATTACGGATAAGACGTCGGACATTTATTCTTGATGTTTGATGTTTGTTGTTTGGTGATGCTGTAAAAACACTGATAACTGATGCCTGGGCCAGTTTAAGGTGAGAGCAGAGTTAAAGCAAAAAAATTGAAATTTCACGATATTCGGAAACATCATAAACACAACAACAATTATATGAACCTTCGACAAACCTTTAGTGGAACTTACGAGGTCCATAACCACATTATCTACGTGATTTATAATCACAACGTGAAACTAATGCATGAGGTCAGTATCTAATATTCAGTAATAAACAAGTTAGTATTGTCTTTCTTTGCTGAATCCATCGAATACGAAACATAATTTTGTCATCTTTTCAACGTTTAGATCAATTTTCGAATCTATTTGATAAATTTTCGTCAATTCCCGCAAATTATCTCAAAACACTGGGAAAACAGATCTGCAGTACTGGTAATTCTTCACACCTAGAGACAACAAGCCTTTAACATTTACACCAAGTGTGTTATAAATTTAACTTAATGGCCTGACACCCTTACTGACACAATTTCAAAATGTTAATCCTCTTGCCGGGCGCCATAGACGAACTTGTAAGCCCCATCCTTGGTAAGGCGCCATATATTAAAGTGCATGTGCGTTGTATTACGATGCTGATGTTTATTTTTTTAAGATAAATCAGAGAATCGATTATTTCTAAATTCCTATGATGGAGCAAAAGATTCTGATTTTCTGCCAATGGGAAATAGCATTCATTTATTGCGCTTTCCATGGACCAGTCTAGAGTTTCTAGCATTTCCAAACAACCTTTATGCAGTTTGAACCATATATAATTATGTAGGCTAAACAATTTTCCCCACAGAAAATACCTGAATCGGGTTAGTTTATAAAAAGAGGGGATGAAGAAAGAAGTAGCAAAAATTACCATATACATTAAACGCAAAGTCTGGAATGCGTAAACATTTAAACGTAATTGGGCTATGACGTTTTCTTTTATCAATGGTTAGCCATTTTTAACTAACACACATGATTAAAATTTCATTATATAATAACGTTAAGAATTGCGGTAATTTTTTTGGTCGAGAGCAATGGTCTATAAGAGGTCATGTGCAGACGTGCGTACGGAATGAAGTCACAGAAAGTTTTAATGAATTTGATCATTCATCGCTTGTTTATTTTGTTAATAAATCATATTTTAGCAAGTGTCTCAAGCTAGCCAATAGCCTTGCGTCTAAAGTATAGCCCGTATAAATTCGATATGTGCAAAAGGTTGACTTCTCCAACTGTTTCCCTGTTTAATTTAGGAATAAAACAAGTAGATAACCTAAGATTTATATGTAGCTTGTAGATACATCACGTAAGTACGGCTCCGGGCCTTCATAACGGACCGAAGTTTTTGCGGTTTTAAATATTTACGTGGTGTACCTACAAGCTATTTTACTTATAATTGCTATCTACTCTGAGTATTTCAATAAGATATTAAGCGATGGAAACTCCTATTTTTTATGTATTATTACATAACATTTAACCGTTGTCTGTTCAGTTATACAGATACATGGTATATATGACGTCATGTGTGATAAGTAAGAACACTCCCCCCCCGTGTTAACTTTTAATGTTATAACGAATGACGTCATACTGTATATCTATAACTGAACAGACAAAGTAAATATCATCTATTAGCTAATTTGTCAATAAAGAAAATAAAAATTGGGGGAACGAAGTTTTTTAACGTCGGGTTATTCATACACAAATCAAATACCGTTTTTATACTAGCTACACACACATGGACATTATTTGTAGGTAAATAGCACAAAATTTAAAAAAAATAGTAGGTGTAAAGGCGAACGAGTTAAATTTGATCACAACTGCATAGTTGGCAGATAAAAACTGTATGACTGATCACAGTAATTTTCTTTAGCATAATACACAAAAGAAATTTATACCCAATCTATAATATACCAATTGATTAGCTTACCGTCATAGAAGCACATCTCTGAGTGCATACGCATTCTCTCCTGGAGATATTCTTTTTCTGCCGTGCAACCAGAGGAATTATCCTCACGTCGATGTTCATTCAAATATCGTCTAACTTCCCAGGAATATCGTCTGGCTTCCCAGTCATACCATAGTGCTCTAGGAAAATATCGTTCAAATTCATGCAAGTTTCGCAGTCTTTGTTTCACACAGCTCTTTTCCCAGTTTTCCACGTCTTCTTTCAGTTGTTTTAATTGCTCGTCACAAATAGGAATATCTTCATTGCAATTGATCAGATTTCCACCAAAGTAAATCAAGATCGTTAAAGCAAACAGCATTTTGGTTGAAACGAAAGCCATGTTGGTCATTTCTGTTTCTTTTGCCAGTAAAGTTTACAGATTCTCTGAAAAAAAATATGATATTTTACTATTAACAAAATTAATGACAGCTGCAATTCAACATGCACCATCACACATACGACGCCTAGTGGTCGACAGATTCTTCCTTTTAAAAACTTATTCAACCCTTCGCTCTGCAATCCCAAAGCGTTTTTATGTAATCCCTGAGCCTGCGACAGAACAGCGGGAACTGATGTTGCAATAGGTCATGGATTGTTATGCGCATGCGATAGCTTTGAATTCTTACCAGTCGGTCGCTATTTAACTCATTCCGTATTTGCTGAATGCATACTCGTATAATTATGAGCTTGGTATGTCGCAGACGTAAGCCAATACCAAAGACTATTAATTTTCAATATATAACTTATATTGTTACTATTATGCTGACTCCAAAAGACAGCTATTTTTTGTTTGTGTGAACTTAAATTTTGATTAATCCAAATCCAATCCTTAATTAATCCAATCTTAGTTTTGGTTAATCGAAAAAAGTCGTGGTAACAGCTCCCAGCTTCTTCATTCTAATTTTAGCGGTTCATTAAACTTCCTTCTTTTTTGTCCTTAACATAAGCTGCGGGTGTGAGAACTGTTTTCTGACATACGTTACGTTAACAGAAAGTGTAATAATAATTTTATTTGCTACTCAATCAAAAATATGCCAATGTTGCTACTATGGGGATGGAAAGAATGGCACCGTGGTAAATTTACCCGCGCTAATTACTTGTGCAAAAATTGACTACCAGCGTACGGGACTGAAAAGTTTCGGCAGTTTATGTAAATTAGCATAGGAAACTAAACCAATCAACAAGCAGGCGAAACCGCATGTGTAGCGCAATGCGCTTTTCTTATACAAAGTTGTACTAAGTATTGTTTACTGAGAGTTACTTGTACTGTGTGATTATTCTTGAGTAGGTCACGCATGTCAAGCAATCTCGTTCCACGCTCTGACGCGAAAACAAAGGCTCTGGGATAATCCAAATCAGAAATTATTTTTATTGGTCGTTTACGCCGTTTCAATTTTGAAATACAAAAAAAAACGTTAAAAGTGGAGGACCAGTTAGGATTATCTTATAGCCTTTGTTTTCTCGCAAGAGGAATCACGGGCTCGGCGGACGAGATTGACATGTGAAAGAAGATATTTAACGGGTGAGTTTGGTGTTGTCCGTATTTTCTTGACCCTTTAAAAAAACACTGTTCAGGCAAATTATCCGAAGACAACGATTTAGGCAGTTTAATTGGTTTTACAAGTCTTAGCAATACTTCATTTATATTTTTAGTTTATTTAGTATTTCTTAAATGGATTGTTTCTTTCAAACTACTTGGAAGTGGTTCGACTGTATGTAGACCGTAATTTTAACTTTATGACCGTTCTAAAACAAAGTTTTAATTATTAAGGCAACACAAAACACACAAGTCTATACCATTTATGAATAATTTACGTTTGCAACAAGATCGCAAAAAAAATAAAAAATAGTGATTTTATTAACGGCGGTTGAAAAAAATAACACCTGCATATTGGCAACACTTTAGTATATTTTTGTAGTTACCACCAGGGCTGCCTCGATGTATTTCTTAGATTATTTCTAGTCATCGTTTGCACTAACGATAAGCCTCGCTTCAAAGAAAGCTTATGATTGGCTCATGCCACTGACGATTCTGGGAAACTAGAGCGTTATGGGTTCAAGTCGAAAAATTATTTTAATCCAAACTGTCAGCCGACATCGCCATTACGAGGATTCGGTACCAGAATGAACACATACTGCGGGACGAACGTCGCAAAACAGGCTTTTCTACCTACGCTCCACGACACGCGCTTCGGCAAAAACCTAGTTCAAGCTGATCACGTGATTCTTTTGCAACGCTTCTCCCGTGTGGGGATGGGTGGAACACAAGTAGCGAATAAATCGATATCACACCTGGTTAAAACAGCGTGTTTCCTAGGGAGTAAATACCGAAAGCAAAACAGACTGTTTCTACGCAATATCAGTATAGCACTAACGAGGAACTAAAGTTTTGTTTGTCCTTGTTTTTTTACATTTCGCTATCATGCAAAAAAAGTTTACATTCTGATATTCACCAGAGCAAGTTTTTTCATTTGGGAAATTTTTTTTGCTACGGATGTCCTGAAGGTTCTCCAGCTGCATTGTTTTAAAAAATGGCTATTATATCAGGTTCTACCATTGCTTTTGTACTGCAATGCGATATAAACAGTGTCGTTATTGTTATTTGCCCTCTAAACTCTCTCATCAACGCCCAAATTGTGAAGATAGTTACGACAGGCCTTCGAATGTCTGTATTGAATGTGAACAGAACTTGTGACGATATTAAAACCGATTCTATTGACAATGAATCAGTTTACACACGCACTTTGAATCTAAATTCGATTTGTCGAGCGAGTGTACGAGTTTAATTTAGCTTTACCGGCTTTTAAACACCATGTGTATTCTGAGTTACAGTAGTTACATGTCATTAAGTCTATACTTAACCGCTTTCCTAAGAATAAATGTGCTTGAATAATATCAAAAATATTTTGTTTTTGTAAAATGCCTCATCCGAAAAAATTTAGGCGAAATGTTGAAAATCAAAACTGCGGAGAACCCCAATAGAAATATTCTTCATCCCAAAATATAGTGCATTAAGAAATATATATCATGAACAATGCGATTTTTTTAGCAGGGGTGACATATTAAAATTTGCTTGGTATTTGAATTAAACGACAGTGTTTTGGGTTTCACAGATCATGGGTATCCTCATAGAACATTACAAACAAGTTAAGAAACAATTTCCTCTAACCCAGCTGCATAGCGTGAGGGATGCGCGTGGAGTTACTTGTCATTAAGTCTATACTTAGCCGCTTTCCTAAGAGGAAATGCGCTTGAATAATATCACAAGTATTTTGTTCTTCCATGTAAAACGCTTCATGCGAAATAAACTCAGAAGTAATGTTTGAAATCCAAACTGCAGAGAATTTGGGATAGGAATATTCTTCATTTCAAAACATAGAGCATTAAGAAATATATGTCCTGAACCGCGCGATTTCTTTACCAGGCGTGACATATATTCACAAAATTCCCTCGTTTCTATAAGTGAAACGACATTGTTTTGGGTTTCACAAATCCTGGGTATTCTTATAGAACATTACAAACAAATACAAAAGTCAGTTTCCTCTACCCCAGCTGCCGTCAGAGTTGTGCGTGGTGCATCTTACTTGACATTAAGCCTATACTTAGCCGCTTTCCTAAGAGTGAATGCGCCTGAATAATATCACAAGTATTTTGTTTTTGTAAAACGCTTCACCCGTGAAAATTTAGACGAAATGTTGGAAATCCAAACTGCAGAGGATTTGCGATAGGAATATTCTTAATCTCGGAATATAGCAATTTAAGAAATATATGTCCTGAACCGCACGATTTTTTTATCAGAGATGACATATTGAGAAAAATTGCCGTGCTATTATATATATATATATATATATATATATATATATATATATATATATATATATATAATATAATTATATATATATAATAATATATATATATATAATATATATATATAATATATAATATATATATAATATATATAATATATATATATATATATATATATATATATACAGTCGTTATCTAAAAGGTTGTCATATTGAAATATATATAAATACGTAAATATCAGTCACGTGATTTTACTGCATACGTTAATTTTATGGGAAATCCGTGAAAATCTTTATTAAAAATTTCATAAATATAATTGTAAGGTTAACAATATTGATAATAATAAAGAAACAAGACAAAAATGAGCGAAATAAAGAATGTTTAATGCTCACGTGATTGATTATTTATATATTTGTATATATATTGATAGGGACAACATTTTTGATAACGACTGTATATATATATATATATATATATATATATATATATATATATATATATATAATATATACATATATAATATATATATATATATATATATATATATATATATATATATATATATATATATATTTAAATTAAACCAGAGTGTTTTGGATTTCACAATTCTTAGGTATACTTATAAAACATTATAGGCAACGCACATATAATTCAAACAGTTTCCTCTACCTCAGCCGGCGTCAGAGATGTGCGTGCAGTTATACTTGTCTTTATAAGCATATATACTTAGTGACTTTGTTAAGAGTGAATGCGTTTCAATAAAATATGACAAGTATTTTGTTTATATGCAAAACACGAAAACGCACGAAATATTCAAACGGAATATGAAAAATACGAATGTTTTCACGATTAAACAGAAATAAAATGATATTCTTTCATTCTAACGTAATTTATGCAACAATTTCTAAAAAAACTTTAGAAAAGCAATTTCATTCACGGCAATAAAAACATGCAGTCTACTACTTGCACCTGCCACAATAAAAGAATAATTTTTGACAGTTTATAGTCACGAAACGTCTTATTTTATATTTTCAAGAATTATTTCCAATCTTCCGACTTGAAAAGTTATTCGGAACAGACTGGCCCAGTTTTCTTTAACCGCTGGACTCTGGGCTATTATAAAGATCAAAGCTTTTGCCCGAAAGCAGGTTGACGTTTTCAACGTATGTTCTGCTTGAATTAATTATGAAAGCAACGAGCAGAGAAAACCGCCGAAATATAGTAAAATTGTAATATACTATATTATGCGCAACTCCAGATGTCTTTCAGGACATAGCCAACGCAATTCAGAAGCGCAAGGTTCTCTTTAAATTTTGAGCAAAAAATATTGCAGCTAATATTGCGCAGAGTATCGTAGCTACTGAATATTTGATGATGAACCCCGCTGTCATATAATGTATAAAACGTGCATTGTTTTGCTAGGAATGAAAACACATGTAGTTGTTTAACAATAATTTTATTCTCAATTGACATAGCCGGCAGGCTGATTGTACGAAGTGAATTTATTTATTAACAAATTCAGGGAAGGAATAAATTTAAATTCAATGCTAATTTTTAACTAAAGGCAATTGCCATATATAGTAGTTCAGTAGTACATTTATACATCAGCCAACACGATATAAACTTCGAGTTTCGCACAATAAGCTCATGAAGAACATATCTAAGTTTTATCCGCAGCACAATAGTTTTAAACGCGCGCGAGACATGCATTCGCGCGGATGAATAATTATAAATGATTTTATAAATATGACAGCATGCACATATATATTCAACACTATACTAAGAACACCATACTACGCAATTTTAAAATAAAGACACGTTTCCTGCCCATTTATCATTAATGACTTTATTTATTATATAATCATTACATTCCATTTCATATAAGGATCATATTTAGAAACTAACAAATGAAACGCAAGTCATGCAATGTTGACATAAACTTGAACATAATATTTTTGACAACCAAAGTAAAATGTTGTCGATTCTTTCGATTCCGAAAATATATAAAAATCTTAGATTTTAAAAATTCAAAAAATATTTCCTACCTTAGCTGTCTCGGTTATTTCACTGAAACTCTTCCAAATTATAATTCTTTTTCACAAGCGATAATATGTCCTGTAGACATAAACACCAGGTGCATTTATTACTGTGCTAACTTCATACATGCATTTTAATACTTTTCATTAAGCATATACTGTACTTAGACCCAGTCTTAAGAGCGAATGAGCTGGGACAATTATTATTACAATCATGTCATTGCTTAACTTAGCAACACATTTTATCTGGAAGTCTGAAAACCCGAATATCACTGAATATTATTACAATAATTTTTATGTCCTAAATACCTCCTATCTTCGCTCGCTGTATTTTATGCTTTATTTACTCTTTAGAAGAAAAATATCTCAGTAGACAAACTCAGAAATTTATTTTGAATTAGAGATGTGCGTGCAGTTACATGCATGTCATTATTTGAAGTCGCTTTCTTAAGAGCAGAGGCGCCTGAATAATATCAGAAGTGTTTTGTTTTTTCAACACGCTTTAAGCGAAAACTTCAAACGAAAACTGGAATATAGGAATATTTTTGCGATTAAAAATATATAAAATATTAGTTTCTCAAAAATAAATAATTAGGCAAGAAGAACAAATATAAAAATTTAGAGAAGCGACAACATTCGCAGCAGGACAATGAAAGCCGCATAATATTTACACCTGTCACAACAGAAAGTGCGGCATTTTTCTAATGTGGCGGACTAGGATCCTTTTAGACGTAAAGAATACCTTTGTAAATTAAAAGGAAAAATATCTCGGAAAAACGAACAAATCAGGTGTATTTTTGCATTATATATGTGCGTGCAGTTACTTGAGCCTATACACTTAGTCGCTTTTGTATATGAGGGAATATCGCGCCTGAATAATATCACAAGTATTTTGTTTTTCCAACACACTTAAAGCGAAAATTTCAAACAAAAATTGGAAAATATTAATGTCTTTGCGATTAAAATTATATAAAATATTAAATTCTGAGAAAGAAATAATTACGCAAAAAGAAAAAAGATAAAAATTTACAGAAGCCACAATATCCACAGCAGGACAATGAAAGCTGCCTAATATTTACACCTGTCGCAACAGCAGCAGTGAACTTCTTCTAACCTGGTGAACTATGAACTTTTCAGCGAAAAAAAATACTTTTGCTAAATTAAAGGGAAATATATCTCGAATAAACGAGCAAATCAGGTGTATTTTTGCGTTAAAGATGTGCGTGCAGTCACTTGATTGTCACATGAGCCTACACTTAGTCACTGTATGAGTGAATATTGCGCCTGAATAATATCACAAGTATTTTGTTTTTGCGACATGCTTCGGAATAACTATAGAATACCCCGCCATCGAAGCAATGGCTTCGATCTAACGAGCCTACAGCCTACGCCCCTTTTATACATAAATTTTAGCTTATGCCCTACAGCCCTACACACTTAGCTTCTCGCGTATTGGCCTACACGCCTACTGGCCTACTCGCCTACTAGCCTACTCGCCTACTGGCCTATAGCTACTCGCCTACTGGCCTACTCGCCTACTGGCCTATTCGCCTAATCGCATACTCCCCTACTGGCCAACTCATCTACTGGCCTACTCGCCTACACCGGCTAAAAACATAAAACTTCATCAAAGTCCATTATATTTATGTCTTATTATTTATGTCCTAACCCTAACCCTAACCCTAACCCTAACCCTAACCCTAACCCTAACCCTAACCCTAACCCTAATAACCCTTAATTAGTTAGATGAGTGGTAATGAGATGACCTATATCTCATTTTAAAAGAAAATAAACTCAAAAATAGCAGTGATCAAACAAATAACAAAGCTATTTTACAAGGGCCCGTTGTATGAAAGCCGAATAGCGGTATCCACCGGATAGTGATATTTCAACCCTTCTAAAAATGTTAGAAAAGCGATAAAATTCAGCTTTAGAAACAACAATTATTAAAGAGGATCATCCATTTAGAAATACTAAGATTTAATCAAAGTTATTGCAAACAACGGGCGATTTTAACGCGATTGAAAAAATCACTATCCGGTGGATAGACGGTATCCGGCTTTCATACAACCGGCCTCAGGTGTTATTGTAAACTGAACAAAGCATGCATGCATGTAGACGCGTAGGCTCATAGGCTCGTAGGCAGCGTTCTTGATACTTAACCTTGCGGGGTATTCTATAGTTGTGCCTTAAAATTATATTCACTATAAAAGTTTTATTAAGAAATCATATCACGCAAAAAATATTACTGATGTTTAAAATAGCGAAGTCCACTGCCTGTTAATCAAAAGAGGAATAAAAACCGTCAAAAATTTGCACCTGCCAGTCGCAATTTTAAAATATTTTCCGACCTCGATCACGCACGCCTCATTTCATTTCTTCAAGAGTTATTTTCCCTCATTTGATTAGAAACGTTTCCAAATTATTGTCTTGCTAACGGGTGTGAATAGCCAAATGTCAGGCGTACCTATAATGACGTACGAAGATATAGCTCCTGTGTTCGGGTGCCTTTAGAATTTCAGGCTATTCCACTTCACGTGAAGAGTACAAATTAAATAAGTTTTAGGTTTTACAATTAGCTCTACAATTACACGTTTTTTGGGGCAACATTTACTAAGTCTTAAATCGGGAATTTTGTAGCGAGGTACAGATTCACCGTCGATGTTCTTGTATAAATAATATGTATAATTGACTGGCCCTTTCAGCGAGCAAGAACTATGCTTATTCTGCTATGAATTTTAAATATTGTATATTTAGCGTGGAAAACTGTAGCGTAGCTATATAATTTTTTGTATATTATATAGCTGTATAATTATCACATTCAAAAAATTTTATTAATCGTGCTTTGGTATTCTATGCATAAAGTGTCTTTTTTTTGGGGATGAAACAATTTAGTATTCAGTCGCTTGATAAGAATAATTAAGTTGAAAATTGCAATCAGGGACCAGCTGTTTGTTAAATATCTCAATAAGGCAGTGCGAACGCTGTCATGTTCAAATGAATATGAAAAACGTGATATTTTTGTTTAGTTTGAAAACTTGCTCCATATAAACAGATTTTTAGTTTATTTTTCACCGTCCCCCAAGCAACATACTTAAAATAATTGTAGCTGTTTCTACTTTGACAGCATCGTAGCGAAGCGTTACGTATATTAAATCGTTGTAACCTGGATACAAGGCAGGAAGGAGACAGACGAAAACCTTTGAAAAAATGGAATACGCTATCTTTCGCTACGAAATGTATGAAATCTATACCTAATATGTTATCCTGTTTTATAATATTTGGCGTCAATCGACCGTTAATTGACGCGGACATATTCATGTATTCTACTATGCCTGGTTAATATCTTTTGAAAACAAGTTTCAATGGAAATTAGCTTGGCTTTCTTGGCATAATAGAATATATGAATATAGTCCTCCTCAACTAACGTTCGATTGACGCCCATGGGTATTCATTTCTGTAAACTATCTTGGGGAACCCTTTCTGTTGCCCATGCAGTGACGCAGGTGGCAGCTCTTTATTAATCCCGATTCTCATATGTCACCGACGGTCGCCAATGTATCGTTTGTGGTTGTTGACGAAGAAATGTATACAAAATAGCAAAGTACTTTATTCTCCAGCGATCACCGACAATAGCCATCGCCAACCGTCAGTGACATATGAGAATCAGGCTTTAATCGCGTGGACAGTGGCGTATCCAGCCTGACGATTTAGTCATGCTATGAAAAATATTATGTGATTATCATTATTCATTTCCTTTGAAATTAATTGTTTTCACAGTCAACGAACACCAACTGCGCATGCATACAAAAAATATACAAAATTTGAAAATAGTAGCCCACAACTAATTAGTTGAGTGCACCAGATATAAGCAAATTCTCTCCCATATTATCTTCCAAAAACCACATTGAAAACGGCAGCGCGTGTTAAGTATTTAAAAATTCGTTGTTTATCTTGATGCATGAGTTAGGTAGGACTGGCAGGCCGGAAAAAACCTCTTGGCAAGTAATCTGGTCGGGTCCAGGCACAGTTATATAGAATATATATGGCTTGGAGAGCACATAAAACTATATACGATACTACTCATTAACAATGTTGAGAAAGATTTATGCAAAAAATTGCTCCTTTCTCATCACATATCTATTGTATTTTGCACATATAAACCAGTAGCAATCTTATAATTAACATATTTTTCAAGTCAAGGTTGAGGAGCTTAGCGAGACGAATGCCATTGGTATATTTAGCTAAAAAACGATAGGCACGTGACGAGAAAGCAATCATTTTTTTGTATAAACTTGGCCAATAATGTAGTTAATGAGATGTATTGTACTTTTATTTAGTCTTCCATAGTACCATTAGTACCATTTATATTCTATCAACTGTGGTCCAAGGCAATAACAACTTCCCGCACGGCAAAGTTGTAAAAAATTGGTTCGACAGGAAACCGAATCCATGAATGCACCGAAAAAACTTTGAGCTGTCTGCTTTCACCGAGACATGCACCAGCGATGAACTGCTACGCTTATTTATACCTTGACTCTAACCGGCAACGTCACTGAGGGAATACTTTCTGACTTTCTGACGTAATCGGAATACGCTGTCCTAATTTTTTTTCGTAGCGCCAGCAAACCATTTATAATGTTCACGTAATATGAATATATACACACTTCCTATAGTGTTGAATGCACTTCCATATAACTGGTTTTCCAAAATTTATAATAAACACGATAATTGACAACTAAAGTTGATTAGTTCAAAGCACTGAATCAGAACAAATATTTATGGCAGTTGTGACTCTATGACTTAACATTTTGTTGACTCCTTAGAATCACAACTCAAAATACGTGATAAGATTCAATTTTTCTCCTGCGTCAGCCACGAAGTTGAAAATTCGCCTAGGTTTTGTTTTTGGTTTTTTTTGTTGCTTTTTTTATATTTCGTCTTCGCAAGTGTGTTTTGGCGCGAACTATACTATTGTTTGAAATGTGCATGTGACCGTATTTATCTACGTCACTTTTTTGTCTCCCAAGAGTTGTGGTGCACGGACATGCAGCTTTGGCTAATTTTCCAATGCGCGATTCGATTTC